GACGCTGCAAGCGATTTTCTATGTGTGCTCGCGTCTATACTTGCTAAAAAAAAAACGATACGTAAAAACGGGAGAGAGAAAAAGAAATAGAAAAACGATACGATATGTTTAGGAAAAGAAGAAGTCCTGTACTCGAGTTAACTTTACGCTTAGCGCATGTTTCCTTCGAGCGCAAGAGCCGCGGGTGGGTTTCGCCCCCTTCTGTTTTCCCCTCGGCTATTCACGCTCTTCATAAAGCGGACGTATCCTAACAACTATTCATTCCCGCCGAATTCATGTAAAATAATCGACACTATCATCATAAGAAAAACGGGCGATTCTAAAAAGAAAAAAAAAAAAAATTAAAGCACCAGCTTCGCGTTTAGTGATTCTGACGTAAAATATAAAATTTTACAAAATAATAAAAATAAAACCACGTGTGGCGTCCGCTGAAAGCGCTATTTTGCTTCTTCGATTCCCAATGTTTCCTAACGGATCCAAGAAAATCTCCGAATTTACGCCAGGAGGTTTTCGAGAGAAACCCGTGATAATACCTAACATATGTTTATACCCGAATGTGTGAATCTCAAATACCTCGTGAACGACATTGTGGAATCGAAGGATCTGGGGAGGAAAAAATTGGGGAGCGCGAGATTCTCCCGACGCGGCTCGTCGCGGGAGGGTGCAAAATTTATTATTGTTACGCCGGATCGCGGTCGGCGGTCGACGCGCGACTAAGGAAAAAAAAAGCAATACTTCGTAACTATCGTGTATGTCTTTGGTATGCCGTTGAAAGTCCGGCGGTAGAATCGAGGGACGATAATATGTCAAAAAAGTGAGGAGAGCGTGAGGAAGGATGCATGGGAAGCTAAAAGAGAGAGAGAGAGAGAGAGAGAGCGTGTGAGAGAAAGAGAGATATATATATAAAAATTAATATATATATATATAAATATATAAATATGCGAAGTTGCGTTATAACGATAGTTACTGCGAGGGGAAAGAAAGGAAGTCGTGCGCTTTTTCTTTTATATATATAATGTATACAGGCGAGTCGCGAGAGACGCCGCTCGTCAGACGCGCTCGTCGCGCTTCTTTCTATACGCCACCGAGAAATTGCAGCGGTCGCGTGATATTTCGTTTTGTACATATAATACGAAAAAGAATGATATATCGTTCCGTTGACGACGGAGCGCTTCTTGTGGCCCTGCGACCGGTACAACACGGAGTCTTCGCGATGCTTCGGATACGATGAACGCGTCCCAAGATCAATCAAGAGGCAATTCTCACTCTAGACGTGTGCCGTACACATTTCTTACAGAAATTTAATACTAGTGATTAATTACTTATTAAGTAAACTAAACAACTGCTTCTAATATTCACCAAATAAATAATCAATCATATATTATTAAATTGGATTTCTGTAAAGGATTGTAATCGCATAAGTGGCTCGACACGTTACCGTATCCAGGAAATTCTGGAAAGGTCCAAAACAAAGAGCTCCATATCCGAATGTAAAGAACCACACACGTGTGTCGCGAGAAATTTTTATCCTAGACTTTTGAAATTTTAACGAATCTCGTGAGCACCTCACTGTGTCCGAAGCGTCATACGAAGTCTCCATTATCGTTCTCGCGGGCGACGAGATGAAGAAAAAGAGAGCTGCTACGTAAAAAGAAAAAAAAAAAAAAGAATCGTACGCGACATTGATGTTAATTAGGGTACCTACAATTATATCGTAGCGATGGTAGTTTCGTACACCCGTGCCCGCAAAAAAGAAAAAGGAAAAAAATCATCTCACCGTAGCGACCTTTATACTTTCATATAAAGACGGCGGTCAATTTATACACGAAGAAGGAGAAACAGAGGAAGTAAAAATTTTACTGGCATCTATTCTTGGTATTGGTGTGACGGTGAACGTGATTCGGGTCCCGACACTTGGTATCCTCGCGAGGGGACTCAAATAGCGAACCGGCGATCACCGACACGACCGATAACACAACGCTCGCCCGTTCGTCTGTATTTTACTTTCCGTTTTTCGTAAACTTGTACATATTAATTGCGATCATTATGTAAATATCTTGAACACACATGTAAACACGCGCGTGTGCCTGCGCGCAAGTTTATTTTAAAGACTACATCATGAGATATATATGTATAAATATACGTGCTCTCTCGCACATATACATATACATATATAAAAATATATTTACCATGTAATGATATTTAACAATAAGGTAACATATATTCTATACTCTTACACGCTAAGTACTCAATAAATATATCTATAAAATTTCCCCGTGTTTGTGAATGTCTGCCCCTGGACCCATCCTGACGATCCCGTCGTTTCGTGGCGTCTGAACCATCCAACAAGATTACGTTTCGAGTGTTAAACATCAACACCTCTGTTCGTCGAACTCGTTGAAAGATATTCATCGTTAAATGTGTTTTCACCCTTGCCCCCCTGTTATCTTATCCTAACTTTCCTAGCGCTCTACTCTTCACACCTTGCCCGAAAATTTCATCCCGCAAATGTCCGCGAAAGACTTTAGGTTTATAGACAAATATATATGTACATAAATATAAATACAAATTATATATAATACTCTCGCGACGGGTCCGACATGGTCTGACAAGTACCTATGGATACGTGATGTGATGAAAGTTGTTTTTCTATCGATAATAACGAGAACGTTAATTAAAGTCTTTTAGTAACATCACTAACAAGTTGTTATCATTGTCTTTCTCTCTCTTACCGTGCCCACACACATACACGCACACATGTACACGCTGTCTTGAACCCTATACGCGTCCAACGAGATCACATCCTTTCTCAGATCTATCTCTTACAACAATTAGTAAATAGGAACTTATCTGTCGGTGCTAGTAGAAAAATTATCTAACAATATAGCGTGCAGTAGTAGTTAATCCGTTATATCCGTTACGAATGTTTTCTCATGCTGATCCTCCTTCGTTATTCTGTAAAAATTATGAAAAGAAAAAGATAATCGCAAATTCATTTAAAGTTCTTACTTAAAGTTACAAGCTATATATTGATTGTGCCCAGAGAAAATTGTTACATTGCTTACAAGAAACGAAGGCACACGTTAACTCTGTCATAACTAAACAGCGCTCCTTTTAACATTTCAATTTGCAAGAAAACATCTTTTTCTATTATCTACAAATTATTCTCAAAATATATCTTAAATTTATAAATAATTATTAAAATTATATTATTATTATTACTGATTCTTGTAATATATTTTTTAACCAAGAGAAAATTAACAATAGTTAGAAATTGATTAAAAATAGAGTTATACGTTTCACATTAATTTAATTTAAACTATTACTTTAAGATTTAGCTTTTTAGAAATTCAACGAACAAATTTTTTTTTTTCATAAAAACTACCGGACCAAACGCAATACAGAGGAATTGAATACCATAGTTAAGAGAGAGTATGTCGTTTTGTATATAATTTTATTGCAAAAAAACGTATTCTTGACAGTGGCTTCATTCTTTACAAATAATCAGTTACATACTATTTTTTGTGTACAATAAGAGATATATATGTTACGTTCTTGTTTATACTATTATAATCGAACAACACAATATACACTAACAAACTCCACACTTATCCAATTAAAAGGAACAGAACCAAAGTAATTACTAGCTATTAAGAATGTAACATATATCAGACACTCTTCTGCTTTAGAACGATCTTAAAAAGGAAGTATTATAAGTAATAATTAATATTACATTTTAGAAACACCTCAATAATTAGAACGACTAGCAACAGAGTTAAGTGCAACTATAATACAACAATGATTTACATATGCGTGTATAATACTTTGATCTCCATTTTTTGAATGCTGCAAAACTAGGGGCATTTACTAGAAAAATGTTATTACTCGTAAAAGGTTTACTATAAAAAATAAATATTAAATGGAACAGTAATTCTTTTAAAAAAATGTTTGTGCAATCAAATTTGATAAAATTTGACAGAGTTAAAAATATCGATATTTATTCACTAATAAAAGGAAACATGATACTTATAAGATGGATAATTTTCTCGAATTATCACATATAATTTTTAATTTCATTTAGAAATTACAAATATAATCTTCCGATTTGCATCTCACAATTGCAAAATATTATTAATCAGAGAATGTCATTAACATAATTTAAAAAAAGATACGTACATGTCAATTATTTGATGGAACTTAATACGTTTTACATAAATTATATTATGAACACTTTGTAAACAATCATACAATTTACGAAATATATACATGCATTCTTGATTTCCTCGTAAATGCATATTTTCTGACAAAGTAAATATTGGAAGTAGCACCCATAATGGGCTTAAATTAGTAATGATGGAATGTATGTATTAATAGTAGGAAGTTACTGGAACACATTTGCAAGTATAAAAAACAAATTTAATAGTAATTTAACACATCGCTGATATTTAACTGCCAAAACTGATGAAACGGACCAATTAATTTAAATAGAGCAATTTAGAGATAATAGGACAATGATTTAATTCTTCTCACGTCTTTCACGAAATATTATTCATGCAACGACCATTTATTAAAACAGTTATTTTTAACACGTATATAAAGAATCTCCAGAAGGGAAAAACAAAAATATCACAACATATTTCATTGTTTTTTGTATTAAATCACACATTAATTTATTTAATATGTAGCACGCTTTATATATATCTAATATATGTATCCTCATAGATCTTATATATATATATATATATAAGATCTATTTTACACATTCTCATTGAGCTTTAATATTTGTTATTATGAAAAAGATTTCATATAACAAATTTTTCTATTTTATTTTATTAATTTAAACTAAAGAAATGTTTATATGTTCATTGCAGGATTTTTTTGTTTTCAGAGACATTTATCTTCCAGAATTAACATGTAGTATCATTATTAATTTAGACACGAATTTTTACTGGCATTACATTTCCTATTTGACAAAATATCTTTTTTATGAGTAACAAAAGTAATAATAATAGCATGTACAAAAATACAAACACATTATCATTCTCTTTAGCGTTGCTATAACAATAATGCATGTGAGAGCAATTGGTTTTTACCAACATTGTTACGATTGTTACTTACTCAAGGCCCAGAGCCCAATTGATACCTTGAACTAGAAACAAAATTAACGGTTGCCACGCGACAAGCCACCTTAACCAATCCAGCAATTGACCGTATAAAACGTGCGGCCGTTGCCAACTGCATTATTTATTAAGGCATTTAATAAACATACTGGCGTAAAACGGTTATTAGTAGTAATTTTTTCGTATTATGTTATAAAAGGATACGGATTGCGAAACACTTTCGTTAAGTTGACTTTTTCTTTGCAATAAGGGCAAGTTTGCTTTTTCCCCACAATGCACCAGCCTCTAATGCAAAACTCATGGAAAACATGGCCACAAGTAAGCTTGTATGTATTTTCGATCACACCTTCCTCAAATTCAGAAACTAGAAGTTTATTTCCACATACTGCGCAAACATTTACTTCTAGAACTCTGGTTGGCATACTATCGGGAGTATAATACTGAAAATTATGTTAAGCATCATAAAATTACATATATAATGCAATATATTTAACAGCTAATATGGTACGTACCCCAATATGGGCTGCCATTGTGTCAGCACATATTTCAGCAATATCTCTACCTAATACTCCAAAGTAAAGACCGTAAAATATGAACAATGTACCCCAATCCATCCAAACTTGAGGCTTAACGTTTATCATGATATTTAAACCAAAGAATGTAAACAAAATAAAAATATATCCAATTATACCCAATACATAGCTAAGCTTATAAATAAAATAAAACCATTTATATACTAATCTGTAAAAAAAATAAGGTCTTATTATTTTATTATTAATACTAATACATTGTTAGTAAATACTCAACATTACCTAGGTGTGGTACCTTCTATTGGTCTCTGAATGGCTTTTCTTACTACTAGACCTGTTATACACGAGGATAAAAGCCATAAAAATATAAATCTCCACCAGTGATTCTTCAAACTAATTCCAAATGGAATAATCCACATAGCTACTAGTGTTACAAGCTGCAAAAAAGAAATATTATATTAATATATAATTTCAGATATTTGAAATATAATAAAGGAGACAATATTTTATTATACCTGGTAGGACTTGAAGTGCCTCTTCTTCCATTCAATCAGTATAATTTGTGCTACTGTTAATGTCACCAACAATATAAACAGCATTTCTGCGTGCATAGATTCGTGACCTCGATGCTGTTCGTGAATCTTCATGTGATTCACTCTAGAAAATTAGTTTAATATAAATTGATATACTTTTCCATATTCTAATCGTGGATGTAATAAGTTAAACTATAAAAACCGACAAAGTTTTCGTTATAAAATTATTATATAGAATTTTGTAACTTGCCTCCATTTTTCCTCTGGAGTCAATAGCGCTTCGCTCTAGAAATAAAAAGCGTTACAGCTACAAAATACTGGAGTAACACGTGCAATATAAAATATTACGGAAAATTTGTTTGTGAAAAGGATTATACAGTCTTTTAACAAACATATTGGAAGAATATTATGTATGTCGAAATTAAAAATAAGGAAAAGTGTAACGTCAAACTTTTGCAAGTCAGCGAATAATTACGATATGATTGTTATCTGAAAGGTTATGTTTTGATGACACGTACCATCTTCATTATCAAGAGACTAAAATATATAAAATTACAGAACGTACCTCGTTTGACACTTGATGTAAATTCGTGGCAGGCATCATAAATGTTGTATTGCATTAACTCACAGAGAAATATGTGTTAATAAACTGGCATGAAGCGGCTGCAGCGTTGCAAACATATCAATAGAATACCGTTAACGGTACTGAAGTGAACATTTACTGCACCAAATGACCGGCATTTGTGTTATCTGCATTATCATGAAGAAATTTTTTAAATTACAGTCAATGACCATATTTTTCATTTTTCACCTGAAATGATATGATGTGCGGATATCCTTTTGACTTTCTGCTGACTTTAAGAAATCCAATTTTCGCAGTTCAAATCCATGTGTATATATACAATTCCTAATAGTCAATTAATACCTGACTGATTAGTAAGATATCTTCTTCATTTTGTTTATTTCTAAAAACTTAAATTTTTGTCTAAAATTTTATAATTTTTCAGACTTGCTCTGTTCTTGAAATTTTAATTATATAGCATCACATCTTATCCGATTATATTCCAATATTTTACTCGTATTTCAAAATTTAGATTTCATAGTTTACATTTTTTTCTTATCAAAAAAATGTTTAGAAATATATAAATGCAGCTTCTCTCTTTGCTGATTCTTAGTCCACCAATGCTTTGTTAATTATTAGTCATTTAAAGTTTTGCGGTTCACAAAAAATACAAAAAATATATAAAAATATCATATTATCCGTTATTGATAATAACAAATTATGCAACTGATAAGTTACTGACAGTCGGTAAAAATAAAGATAATAAATTTAACTCAAAGAACGCCTAGTTCACACTGAATACGATGGGCGATGAACAACGAGCGATATCCAATAAAAGCTTTGCTTTAGCTCACACGACGATGTAAAGCAGAGTTCTTATTGGTTATCGCTCGTCGCGCCCAGTGTGAACTAGGCATAATTGCGGCATAAGGGCGACTGCTCATAAACCTGTGTCGTTATTTGTTAATTTTACCAAAGTAAGCAAGTAGTGACGTCATTAATCCGAGTATTTCACACTCGGCTCACTTCAGACTTCAGGCCGGTATTCGTAGTCAATATTCAAGATCGTCTTAAGTACAGTCTTGAGATGTCACGAACCAATCAAAGGCCGGTATTCATAGTCAGTTCCTTATTTGAAGACTGTCTTAAGTAATGTCTTAAGATGCTAAAGCGGCCCTCTGATTGGTTCGTAACTCTTCAAGACTGAACTTGAGACGGTCCTGAATATAAGAACTGACTATGAATACCGGATTCGCGTCTTAAGACATACTTAATGGGCCTTCTACAATAAGCCATTACTTAAGTTTTAAGTGTTAAATCATAAGAAATTTACCAATCACAATCGAATGTGAGAAGAATAATCGACTGTGAGTGGTCAATTTCTTATGACTTAATACTTAAAACTTAGGTAATGGTTTATTGTAGAAGACCTATAAGACAGTCTTGAAATAAGAACTGACTATTGGCCAGTATTCGTAGGCCGGTATTCATAGTCAGTTCTTATTTGAAGACTGTCTTAATTAATGTCTTAAGATGCTAAAGCGGCCCTCTGATTGGTTCGTAACTCTTCAAGACTGAACTTAAGACGGTCTTGAATATAAGAACTGACTATGAATACCGACCATTGTCAGTTTTTATATTCAAGACCATCTTAAGCTCATGGGCCTTTTACAATAAGCCATAAGTCATAAATTATAAGTCATAAGCTAGAAATGGACCAATTATAGTCGTCAATTTTTCGTTTCTTACTTCTGATTTATAACTTATGGCTTATTGTAGAAGGCCTATCAGTCTTGAGGGCTCACAAACCAATCAGAAGGCCGCATTGACGACTTAAGACATTACTTAAGACGGTCTTGAAATAAGAATCGCCTATTGCCGGATTCACACAGAAAAATCGTAACATCGATACGAAGCAAAATTTTGTTTTCCGATTGATTGCAGAGTCGTCGTACGACGAAAATCGGATGCAGGGTGAATCCAGCATACGAGTACCGCCCTCATCAGTTTCACTTGTGTGTAAAAATGGTAAGCAACTCGTCGCGGCGAGAGTTCAATGAACAGACGACGAATTCAAATTGCCCGCGCGCGGTGTGCGAGTTAATGCCGCGTCCTCAGGCGAGGTTCAAAACCGAACGTTTCCAGCGAACGAGCGTGCCTCGTGCGCAGCCGTCGTCGTTCGGATCTCTACGGCGTTAAGCCACGCCCAGAGACACGGCGGTGAGGGAACGAGCTGGAATGGTAATTCACTGTCCGTGGTGCAGCAACATGAGCGTCCGCGGCGGTACCGTACGTTGAGAGAACGCGCGACGTGACAGAATTCCATTGCCGTGAAATCGCGCGCGGTCGCTACGTGTCAGCGGGTCGCGCGGTGTGCTCCGCGTGTTTCTCGCGTGTGTTGCCCAACAGTGTCGGGTGTGCCTGATAACGTTCCGTACACGTGGATACGCGGTTTACCTCCTGGCTGCGGGGGTTAGTTTTCGCCGGGATTCCACGGAAGGATACCATATACCGCCGAGCCTCCGATCGGCCGCCCCTCTTCGAACGGTCGCCGTCGTGCCGGAGGAATTGCTTTCGGTGAGTAACCCAGAACGTTGTCTTCCTTCTCGCGAACGACGAGCCGCGCGGCGGTCGGCGGCGCGAGTTGCGCGGATTTGCGAAATTTCATTCCCCGCCGACGATCTCTCTCTCTCTCTCTCTCACACGCCTGGCTTCGGCAGGCTAAAATTTATTTAGAGAGGCGAAAGAAACGTGTCGAGAAGTTCAGAGGAACGCCCGTGAATTCGGGAAACTGTAACCATCGACTGTACTACACGCCGATCGGATTTGAGGAATTTTCTAAATCTTGTTGATATATAATTTTCTTCCTTCTGGCGTCTACCGGAACGGGCGCAACGTCGGTTTTACCACAAGGCACGGCTGTCTCGCGTTTCGGTTGCAGAATGTAGTCGGACAATTCTCACGACACCGTGTTCTACAAACGGCAATTAGCCGCTATCGTAATTATATTCTGTTGTTCAACGTCCATACTCGCTCCTTTTCACGAGGCTTTCAAGGACTTCACGCGACTGTCTTTAAGTAGTGATTAGAGGTCAGTTACCGGTCAGCCTTTCTACTCTTGACTCGCGATGCATCGAGTTTATCTGTTTTCTGCGAGAGATAAGCCGTTGTACCACGCGGCTTAGATTTCGTCGCGAGATCGCGGTCGGCAGCGGTGTGCCAGATCGTCCCGAAGAGGAGAGCCTCTTTCCCTCGTTTTTTTCCCACCTTTTAAAGGACGCCACACAGTTTCGCAGCGAGCCGACGCGACGGCGGAAGTTTTGTCGGCGGCGCCGCCGCGATTACTGACCCTGAGGACGCGGCGCGGAATGCGGAAAACGCCGCGGAGAAGGTCAATACTTTCGCGACCGCGCGGCTGCATCGAATATTGAATCGAGGAGATCGCATTTATCTGCGATCCTTACGTGCGGATTCCTCACGCGTTAATTCAAGATGGAAACTTTTACACGATCATATGTTGCCCAAATCGGCTTAGAGTTTTCAAAATTGAAAGACAAACTTTGTTTTGTCTAAAAATCTCGACAACTGCTGGAGTTAAAACATTTGATAGAACATTAAACGTACACAAAGTTCCATCGGAATAATCCGAGATTTTTGGAAAATACAGAATTTTTCCTTCAACTTTGACCATTCCTGTATCTTTGAAAGTAAGCTGTTTCGAACATATGGTTTTATGAAGTTCTCTCCAGACGACGTGGCCAACGTACGCTAACTCTGCGCACATATTGGCCTACATTCATATGGATAATTGCACGGAAAGAATTATATCTTAAAATTTACCCGGAAAATATAGTGGGACAACATTATATTTCGAAGAATTTTTATGTAAATCTCTTACATTCATTAATAAAACTACAATAGAATATAAAAGTATGATTAATTTTACTGAAGTGCATGGTAACAATCTTTAATCTTATTGTATTGTACTATAATTACTATATTTTCAGGGTAAATTTTAAGAAACCCTTCTCTCTCCGTGTATACATGTCATGTGCGTGTGTAACATTTGCTACAACTTGACGTACATTGGCCATGTCGTTTGGGAGCCGCTTTTAATTTAGTGTGAGGAACCATTCTCTGAAATTTTATAGTACTTAACTATCACCCTGTATATACAGAAAAAAAATGAAAAATAATAATATCAAACGCTCGATAGATTTGAAAAACAACACATTAAGTATATACGACCAATGCGAGCATAAAAGAGGATGTTGAAATTAGTAATTATTAGTAATCTATACAATCAATGCTTTTGTTCTAAATTAATATATAATAATAAAATAGAGCATATAATACAATGATAAAGTAACAAACGTTTCAGCTTCACAGAGCCTTCTTCAGTGTAGAAATAATAATTCTCAATCGTCATTTACAATCGAGACATACAATTCGGTGTAAAATTTTTTTACAAGATCTTGATTACTAATAATTACTAATTTCAACATCCTCTTTTATGCTCGTATTGGTCGTATACTTTAATATAATGAAAAATGTTATTGTTTATATAGATACGTATAATCAAATATATATTTTTTTAATATAAATATATATGAAATATTTCACGCGTGAGATTTATCGCCGTAATAGTAGTACTAATTTATCGTGCACGTTAATTACAATTCCACGATACACACGTCTCATCCTCCTCGCCGATTTCGTTCCGTTTTAATCGCGAGAATTAATCGCCGGCGATTCTGTACTGTGGAGGCAAGAAAATTTAGGCTCCCCTACTCGCATCGTGCATTTAACGTTAATTGTGGGCTGTTCGATTTTCAGGCTCAGATAATGTCTCGCGCACGTTTTACCCGTACGATAAAAAACGCGCTGAATGTGATATATGAATATGGATCTTGAAATCTGAAAGATTATATAGGACGGTGTCTGAAAGAACAAATTTCGTCCATGTAGGCATGTATTCGTCAATTCAATTCTCCGAGAGAATAGCATTCTACTCCGATTGTCAACACCAGAGGTTCCTAATTTAATTCTATTTCCCATCGCTATTAATACAACTTGTATCGCTCATGGGAAAGAGGGAGAAGGAAGAGAAGTTTGACGCAATTTCGCGTGAAGTCAGAGAACCCCGAAGGAGCAAAGTCCTCTCACGGCACGGTCATTTGGACGT